GGCGGAGAAAGAGGAATAGAATTGACCATACAAGTGTCAAGCCGAATTCCCGTAATCGTAGCAGTTGTAATACACATGATCGTTCTAATATTGATAGCCATGGTAGCTTAATAGACGAAGGATCAAACTTCGCCAGGCGAAGGACCCAACCATATGCACTTCGGTATGATGTGCCGCAGGTGTGCGTATGATCTTCGGTGGAGCTCCGTATGGGGCCACGAACCGTGTGAGAGATGTGCCGAAATTGGGGGTGGAACCACATGCGAACCCTGCCACTGGGGCCTTGGGTGGAGCGCCCTATGGAGCCACGAAGCGTATAAGGGTTTGCCGAAATGGGGGTGGAATCGTACGCGAACCTTGCCATTGGGGCCTTCGGTGGAGCCCCATCTAGGGCCCACGAAACATATGAGGGATGTGCTGACATTAGGGGTGGAACCGAATGCGAACCTTGCCACTGGGGCCTTCAGTGGAGCTCCCTTTGGGTGCACGAAGCGTGTGAGGGGTATGTTGAAATTAGGGGTGGAACCGTTCGCGAACCTTGCCATTGGGACCTTCGGTGGAGCTCGCGAAGGGGCCACGATACGCGTGAGGGGTGTGCCGAAATGGGGGTGGAACCGCATGCGAACCCTGCCACTGGGGCCTTCGGCGGAGCTCCCTTTGGGGCCACGAAGCGTGTGAGGGGTATGCCGAAATGGGAGTGGAATCGCACGCGAACCCTGCCATTGGGGCCTTCGGTGGAGCCCCATATAGGGCCACGAACCGTGTGATGGGTGTGCCGACATGGGGGTGGAACCGCATGCGAGCCTTGCCTCTGGGGCCTTCGGTGGAGCTCCCTATGGGGCGACGAAGCGTGTGAGGGGTGGGAGGAGTGGGAGGATGGTGAGGAGGAGAGGGAGAAGGAAGGAGGGATGCGGGGCGCTGTCTCCTCAAAACAAGGACCCGACACCACAGGATGCTTGGGAACTAGATGCAGAAGAAGAAGAAGAATAGCCTGGCAAAGGACCCAAACACATGCAGTTGTGAGTGACGCAGTTGTGAGCAGTTTCCTTCGGTAGAACTCCATAAAGGGCCACGAAGCGTGTGAGGGGTGTGCCTGAATGTGTGGCGGGGACGCATGTGGGCACCGCCACTGGGGGCCATCGGCGGAGCCCCCTCTGGGGCCACAAAATGTGTGAGGGGTGTGCCGACTTGGGTTGCGGGGACGCTTGTGGACTGCGCCACTGGGGCTTTCGGTGGAGCTCCCTATGGGGCCACGAAACCTGTGAGGGGTGTATCAAATCGGGTGGCGGAAACACATGTGGGCACCGCCAGTGGAGCCTTCGGTGGAGCTCTTATGGGGCCACGAAACGTGTGCGGGGTGTGCCGAGATCAGTGGTGTGGGCGTATGTGGGCTCCGCCGCTGTGGCCTTCGGTGGAGCTCCCTGTGGGGCCACGAACCGCGTGAGGGATGCGCCGAAATGAGGATGGAACAACTGCATGCGAACCCTGCCGCCTGGGGCCTTCGGTGGACGTTGCCACGGACCGTGTGAGGGGCGTGCCGAAATGGGTGGTGGGGACGCATGTGGGCACCGCCACTGGGGCATTCGGGTGGGGCTCCCTGTGGGGCCACGAAGCGTGTGGGATGTGTGCCGACATGGGTGGCGCGGACGCATGCGGGCTGGACCATGGGGACCGTCGGTGGAGCTCCTATGGGGCCACGAAACGCGAAAGGGGTGTGCCGAAATGTGTGGCGGCGGCGCATGCGAGCTGCGGCGTTGGGACCGTCGGTGGAGCTCCCTATGGGGTCACGAACCGCGTGAGAGGTGTGTCAAAATGGGAAGCGGCGACGCATGCGGGCTGCGCAACTGGGACCTTCGATGGAGCTCCCTACGGGGCAAATGAGGGCGGAACTGCGTGCGAACATTGCCACTGCGGCCTTCGGTGAAGCTCCTATGGGGCCACGAAACGTGTGCGGGGTGCGCCGAAATGATGGTGGAACTGCATGCGAACCTTGCCATTGAAGTTTTCGGTGGAGCTCCCTATGGGGCCACGAACCGTGTGAGGGGTGCACCGACATGAAAGTGGAATTGCATGCGGCGAACCGGTAGAGCTCCCTATGTGGCCACAAAACGTGTGAGGGGTGTGCCGAAATTATAGGTGGAAGCGTATGCGAACCCAGCCATTGGGGCCTTCGGGTGGAGTTCACTATGGGGCCACAAAACGTATGAAAGGTGCGCCGAAATGACGGCGGACCTGCATGCGAACCTTGCCACCGAGACCTTCGTTGGAACTTCATATGGGCCACGACACGTGTGCGGGATGCGCCGACATCGGTGGCGGGGACGCACGTGGGCACCGCCATTGGGGCCTCCAGTGGAGCTCCCTATGGGGCCACGAACCGTGTGAGGGATGCGCCGAAAGGAGGGTCGAACTGCATTCGAGCCCTGCCGCCTGGGGCCTTTGTAAGAGCTCCCTATGGTTCCACGAGCCGTGTGCGGGGTGCGCCGAAATGATGGTGGAACTGCATGCGAACCTTGCCATTGAAGTTTTCGGTGGAGCTCCCTATGGGGCCACGAACCGTGTGAGGGGTGCACCGACATGAAAGTGGAATTGCATGCGGCGAACCGGTAGAGCTCCCTATGTGGCCACAAAACGTGTGAGGGGTGTGCCGAAATTATAGGTGGAAGCGTATGCGAACCCAGCCATTGGGGCCTTCGGGTGGAGTTCACTATGGGGCCACAAAACGTATGAAAGGTGCGCCGAAATGACGGCGGACCTGCATGCGAACCTTGCCACCGAGACCTTCGTTGGAACTTCATATGGGCCACGACACGTGTGCGGGATGCGCCGACATCGGTGGCGGGGACGCACGTGGGCACCGCCATTGGGGCCTCCAGTGGAGCTCCCTATGGGGCCACGAACCGTGTGAGGGATGCGCCGAAAGGAGGGTCGAACTGCATTCGAGCCCTGCCGCCTGGGGCCTTTGTAAGAGCTCCCTATGGTTCCACGAGCCGTGTGAGGGGTGCGCCGAAATGATGGTGGAATTGCATGCGAACCCTGCCATCGAGGCCCAGCTTTGTGGGGCCACAAAACATGTTGGAGGTGCGCCGAAATCAGGGTTGACCTGCATGCGAACCCTGCCACTTGGGGCCTTCGGTGGAGCTCCCGATGGAGCCACGAACCGTGTGAGGGGTGCGCCGAAATGAAGGTAGAACTGTATGCGAGCCCTGCCACTTGGGGCCTTCGGCGGCGCTCCCTATGTGGCCACGAACCGATTGAGGGGTGCGCCGAAAGAAGGATGGGATTGTATGCGAACCTTGCCACTTGGGGCCGTCTGTAGAGCTCCCTATGTGGCCGCGGACCGTATGAGAGGTTGCGCCGAAGTGAGGGTGGAACCGTATGCGAACCCTGCCAATGGGGCCTTCGGTGGAGCTCACTGTGGTGCCATAAAACGTTTGAGGGGCGTGCTGAATTGTTGCCGATGGTGATGGCGATGGCGAGGATGATTGTGGTAACGCAGATAATGACGATGCTGCTGATGATGATGCTGATGATGATGCTGCTGATGATGATGCTGATAATGATGGTGCTAATGGTAATGACGATGATGATGCTGATGATGATGATGATGCTGATGGCAATGGTGATGATGATGGTGATGGTGGTGGTGAAGATGATGATGATGATGATGATGATGATGATGATGATGATGATGCTGACTATGATGATTATTATGATGATGATGATGCTGATGATGATGATGATGACGATGACGATGACGATGATGATGATGGCGATGATGGTGATGATGATGATGATGATGATGATGCTGATGCTGATGCTGATGCTGATGGTGATGGTGCTGCTGCTGAGGGTGTCGATGCCAACGACCTTCTGAAGATGGTGATGATGATGATGATGGTGGTGATGATGATGACGACGAACGAGGCTGATGGCGATGATGGCGCTGTGATGAAAATGATGGCGATAATGAAGAATGGTGATGATGCTGATGATGATGATGATGATGATGATGATGATGATGATGATGATGATGATGATGATGTTGACGATGATTATGTTGATGCTGGTGTTGATGCTGAAGATGCTGATGCTGTTGATAATGAAGATGGTGATGGTGATGATGATGGTGGTGGTGATAGAAATGATAATGATGATGGGGTTGTGAGAGGAGGGGGCAGCGGGAGGAGGAGAACGCGGGGCGCCAGCGCTTCAAACCGAGGACCCAACACCACATGATGGTTGGAAATAAAGTAAAGAGGGGAACGGGGGGGGGGATAACCAGTCGGGCCGTTCGGGCGGCATCGGGCCTCCGCGTGCGCGGATGCGGCGGCCGACAGAAATGGTATGGGCCTTGCGACGCCACGGCGGTCCTTGATGCCCCCCCCCGGTGGTGGAGAAAGAGCAATTGGAGGAGAAGCAGGAGGGGGTGAAAAGGGTGGACGAGGAGGGGGAGAAAGAGGTTGGGAAGGAGGAGTGAGAGCAGGAGGGAGACAATGAAATGAACGTAGGATAAGGACGTTGACAAGGACGAATGAGCAGTGGGCCCAAGAGCACTATGTCTCGTCGTCGCACTTGCTCAATTGTCGAGAGCCGCCTGTTGACATTGTCTGAACGCCTTTGCTGCGAGCAATGTCAGCTGCACCCGTCGTAGCACAAGCCCGTTCACAGAGGAGGAGGGGGAGGAGGAGGAGGAGGAGGAGGAGGAGGAGGCGAAGGAAGCGAAGAAGGAGGATGAGGAGGGGAAAGGGAAAAGAAGGGGAAGTGGCAGGGGGGGAGGCGATAGATGAGATGGAACGGGGGCGGAAGAGGCAGGAGCGAAAGGGGGAGGAAGCGGAAGAGGCAGAGGAGAAGAAGGAAGAGGAGGAGGGGACGGTGGAGGATGGAGAGGACGGGCGGGGGGTGGGATGAGGAGGAAGAGGAGGGCGACGACGACGAGCAAGACGAGGGGGGCGAGGACAATTCGTCCGATGACCCAATTGCGGGCGCGGCGGGCTGAGGATAGAGTACTTGCAGCAGCTGCATTCGCGGTTGCAGATCCTCTGGAGCTTGGGGGGAGGTGGTGCTTTACTCTGTCGGAGTAGCGTGTGTAGAAGGAGTGGCGAGGAAGAGGGGGAGGGAAGGGAGAAAGGAGGAGGAGGAAACATCTACCCTGTCCCCCCTTCTCATGGGGACGGCTGGAATTCCTTCGGAAGGTTTTGGTTGCTATGGGCCGCGTGTGACCCGGAATCCAAACACATAAACATACCCCTCTGGGCCACGACAATATGGTGGGTCGCATGCGCCTCACTGTTCTGCGCGGATTACACGCCATGGACGGCACCCGTCCAAGCTTGAGAAAGAACGCAGGAGGTCTCCAAGAAAGCTCGCGTCGGCTTGGACCCGTGTGAAATAGATCACCGACGTATAGTTTTTATTGAATGGCTTCGCTCATTCCGCCGGCCCATATGCGCGCCATTGTCGACTTACCGAGTGGTCTTTCGCGGTGCGGAGCTGCAGTGGCGGCGGCTGTTTTTATCAGGCTTTGCGGTCGGCATGTGGGGTTGCGTCGCGGGCCATCTGGAAGCGTTTTGCCTATGGGACTCTTTCGGGAGGCCTCTTGGTTGTCTCGTGGGGGCTCTTAAACTCGTCGGGTCGTTGGCACTTGCTTGCGTGCTCGGGGGGCATTTGGGGGGCATCCTGGGCCCGCTTGGGGGCCTCTTGGGGGCCTCCTGAGGGCCTGTTGGGGGCCTCTTGGGGCCTCTTAGGGGCCTCTTGGAGACTCCTGGGGGCTTCTTAGGGCCGAGGGCTCGAATTGTTGTTTCGTGCTCCCCCCCTGGGACCCCTATTGGAGCGTTATTGGGGCCTTCTTGGGCCGTCTTGGAGGCCTCTTGGGCAGTCTTGGGGCCCTCTAGGGGGCCTCTTGGGTCCCCTTGGGGCGGTCTTGGGGGCCTCTTGGGTCGTCTTGGGGCGTCGGGAAACCGCAAAGGTAGACACGCCACAAAATCTCGATATTGTGGCATCTCGGAGCTCTCTTGTATCATCTTGACAGAGGAAGCCCTCTAAACTACTCACGGCATATAAGGGGCTGGAGGGAGTCACTTGTTAAGCGCAAAGAGCCCGGAATTCCCGACTGAATACATTGACGACCATTTGCACATCAAGACGAGCGAATATGCGTTGCACGTTGTCGTCCACCATTCCCGCCGCCACCATCATCGCCACGGTTGCGGCGACGGCTGCGACAATCACGATGGTGGGATGAAGACGGTGTGCAGCTCTATTGTTCGGTTGACCTAGCGACGTACCTCTATGACTGCGGAGGCGGCGGACTTGGCGGAGGAGAACAAAACGAAGAGGAAGGGGAGGGGGGCGTTGAGAACCAAGCGTGATGGCGAATGGGGACGGGCTTTGGGGATGTGGATGGGACGGCGGAGCAGGATGGAGACGGTGGTGGCGCGGGGGAGTGGGAGAGGGCTGGAGAAGCAGACGGAAGAGAGTGGAGGAGCAGGAGAAGGAGGAGTCAGTGGGCCAGGAGCAAGGGCAGGAAGAGGAGGAGTCACACTCGCTCCTGGTGTGGTCTGTTGGCACCAGGCTGCTGGCCCCAGAATTGGCTCCCGACTGAAGGACGGGCAGTCCAGATAATGAATCAGAGTGGCAGTTCGCGAGGAGGAGGGGGAGGAGGAGGAGGAGGGGGAGGAGGAGGAGGAGGAGAGGAAGAGGGGGAGGAGGAGTGGGGAGGAGGAGGAGGATGGGAGGAGGGGGAGGAGGAGGAGGAGGAGGGGAGGAGGGGGAGGAGGAGGAGGAGGAGGAGGAGGAGATGGCCAGGCCTCAGACGTCGTCTTTTTTCCAGGACGTGGGCCCCTGGAGCTCTCGACCCCATCCCCAGGACCAGTTCTTCGCCGCGGGCCGCTCTCGGATGGCCCCAGGGCCCGACATTGGCATCTGCACTCCCCACTCCTCCTCCTCCTCCTCCTCCTCCTCCTCCTCCTCCTCCTCCTCCTCCTCCTCAGATGTGTTTTCTGTTGGCGCCCCCAGAGGCCTGGAGAGCCTGGCAGATGGATCTGGGCGCGCTGCCCCGAGGCCCCATAGTCTAACCTGCCCTGGGAACTCGGAGTGCCTGCCTGGTCGTACGAGGCCACCAGTCAGTGCACGGAGGCGCGCGGCTGTGTTGCGACATTGGTTCGGTTTCGTTCTCTGGTTCGCGGCAGGTCCGCACCTCCCGGCGCCGTGAGCAAGACACGACGGGTGTTTGTGCCCCGTGCAGCGCCTTTGGGCCATCACGGATGGATCCAGCTCGATTACAGCCGGGGCGCTGAAGAAGGAACCCTTTGCGTTGGGGAGGGGCTCGGTGTTCCTTAATTGTTCCACACCTCGCCTAAGGTTTTTCTCAAGTTGTCGATAGGAGATCGAAGTTTAACTTATGGAAAAAAGAGGCCTCGTTCCTTATTTAGGGTTCCTTAGGTCAACGCCCCGACGGTAACGCCACGGACAAGTTAGGTCGACAGTTCGTGTCGTGATTTCGGCTTGGTTGTCTTGCTGTGTTTTTTCACGGAGTCGGATGCTGGGGTTCGGTCTTGAACCGTGTACGGGCCCAAGGGAACAAAGAGGCCAAGACGGTGCCAGCTGCCGCCCCATGGTGTGCGTGGGCCCACAGGTCACATGCCGTGCAAGATTTCCGTGGAGCTCAGGAGGGGAAAGAACAAACAGACACAATTGATCGTCGACTCCCAGGAAAATATAGGAAAATATGGGGATTGGGGGGGAAGACGAGAACCCAGAAAATATTGGAAAATATTGGGAATCCTGTTGTTTGTGTCTATTTAGTTGTGTGTCCCAGGGCCCCTTCAGGAGCGCTGTGCATGCGCACTCGCTGGTGCGACTGTCCCACGAACACCCAACCTGCGCCGAAAGAATGCGTCGCCCATGTTACAGGGCTGGCGCGGGGGTATCCTTAGGTTCACACCCAAGACTGGCGGTTGTTCCCCCAGCGCGTGAAATGGTGCCGGCTTGACTAAGCGCGCCCAGTCCACCAACACCCAATAGTCTTGTGTGTTTAATCATCCTGTTCTTCTGCCTCCTGCTCATATCCATCCTCACCGATAGAAATTGGATCGTCGGCGGAGGGCTGACGAGCAGAACCGCGACCAGATCGTGGAGGTCATTCGCCAGATCACGGAGGCGGCCGTGCTCCAGACAAGCAGGGCCGAACTCTTCACATGTGGTTTTGTGGGAGATTGCTTATTCGGGAGGGGGCATACGAGGACGTCCCTCCTTCTCTACATGATCATCACCGTCGTCACGTCATCAAAATCATCTTTCCTCATCCCTCCTCTCTCCTCTGGCTCCTCTGATTCTTCTGTTTTTCCTCATCCTACCCCTCCTTTCCTTCCGCCCCCATCTGTTCCTTTCTTCCCAGGCAGGGGGGTCGTGGGCAGTCTCGCTGGTCCAGCCGCCAAGAGGAGGGAGAGAGCTACGCCTGGCTGAGCAGGGTCCCCCCCTACCCGACCCCCCACCCCACCTACAACTTTGGTCCGTTCCGCCCGCGCCCTAAGAGCGGCAGTACGAGCAAGATAAGGCGGACGAGGCGAGGGAGGAGAGAGGAGGAGGAGGAGGAGGAGGAGGAGGAGGAGGAGGAGGACGACGACGACGAGGCAGTCAAAAGAGAACGAGGGGGCATGACTAGCATGCCCAGAAACCATCCACCCTGCTGCAGCATTCCCCTCCGCCCCAAGTCCGCGTTGCACAAGTCCGTGCAAGTCGCGCGTATCTGCCGCCACGCTCGAGCGGGCGCCTGGGGCACTGGGGGGGGGAGGGACCGGGGTAGGCGGAGGGGAGCCCGCCGGGTGTACGCCATGGAGGGTCGCACTTTGAGTTCCTGGCTGTGGCGCCACTACACGCCGGTCGTTGAAAGGAGGTGTTTTCGGATTCCCAGATCCCAATCTATTTCAAGCGCCTTCCTACTTCAAGGACCGATATGTTTTTGCTGTGTTCTGTTATTCTTTGGGATGGCCTGAACCCAATATACTATATCCGCCTTCCCACTTCATTTGTTTACCTACTTCTTCCGACCGACGTGTAGTTAGGAAGCAGCAAGTTGACCGTTTTTGTCAAGAAGTGAGCGCACGTTGGGTTCGGTGCGCCAGGCAGCTCCAAATATCGCTTCGCAAAAGCGAAACGACAAGAGGAAACATAATTCGACACAAACAAACAACCAAACAAACAAATAAACAAACACACACACACACTCTCTCTCTCTCTCTCTCTCTCTCCCTCTCATGAGCACACACACACACACACACCAACAAACGCTCTCGCACACACACAAACACACACACAAACAAACAATCAAACAAACACTCACACACTTTTTTTGCGTCGGCGGCTAGGCAGAATTACTGCGCTGGCGAGTTACACTCACACATCAACGCAAACAAATAAACATACTCTCTCTCTCTCTCTCTTACACACATTTTTGGCGGTCGCGGCCTCGCATGCCGCGACGAGGCGGAGCAAGTCGAGCAACGGCGCTGGGCTAACGCGCGCAGCTGGGCTCTCAGACGCGGGACCTTTATGGATTGACCGCACATGACCACCCGGGCAGGGTGGGGAGTGAGAGAATTCACGCAGCGTCCGAAGACGGAGACGGCGGTATTGACGAGCGACACCAGGCAGGTGCGGAGAGTGTTCTCGGGCTGAACACCCGACGAGCCTGGCAGCCGGGAGCGCTGCCCGCGGTGAGGACGGCGGAGGACGCGAAAGCGCCACGGCTACCCCGAAGTGGGAAGACTGGGTGGGGGAACGGCAGCAGCGCAAGGCTACAAGGACGGGAAGGGGCGCACACACACACACACACACACACACACATTCAACCGCACACACACACACACACACATACGCACGTACGCACACACACGCACGCACACACGCACACGCACACACACACTCACACACACAAACTTCCCCAGCGACCGTGTGCCACGTTGGTCTCAGTGGTTGCGAACGCGGGAGAGCCCGGCGGAAGCAGAACGGCCCAAGAGACGGCGGACACACATACATACACACACGAAGTTTTGGCGGTCGCGGCCTCGCGCGCAGCGTCGAGGCGGAGTAAGGTCGGAGCCGGTGCGCGCGCAGCTGGGCCCTCAGTGAGATTGTTTTGAATCCCGTGCATCCCGAAGCAGCAAGCCATCCAGGCGTGGATGGCGGGGAGGTGACACGCCGCCCACCGCAGGACTTCCCAAACGGGGACGTAGCGCGAGAGCGTTGAGGAGAGGCATAAGCATCCGTGCGTGGATGGCGGGGAGGTAACTCGCCGCCGGAAGCTGGACCTGCCGAGCGAGGACGGCCAAAGGAAAGGCCGCACGTTCACGCACACACACACACACACTTCTTGGCGGACGCGGCCACGAGGCGGAGAAAATCACCTGGAAGATTTGAGACGCCCAGCGGATGCGCACACACACACAGACACACACACACACACACACACACACTCACAAAAACACACACACACACACACGCGCGCGCGTACGCACACACGCGCACGCACGAAAGCGCATTTCTCCTCCGACGAAGCGATGGGATGCTGTCACCGAGCAAACATGGCAACGGGACACGCTGTCACAGTAGTTTATCCACCTTGGCCAAACACACACACACACACACACACACACACACACACACACACACACGCACGCACGCACGCACGCACGCACGCACGCACGCACGCACGCACGCACACACACACACACACACACACACACACACACACACACACGCTATAACAGACACACACACACACACACACACACCGCTAACACGCACAAGCCGTATCTCGCGCGGTGGCGACCTTCTTTTTCGCTGGTTACAGAGACAGTCCCTCGACAGACGAGCTCGCCATGGACATGCCGTGCAAGCGGGAGCTCCATTTCTTAAATAAACGAAGCGCCTTGCATGAGCAGTGTGACTGTAAGACAAGATGGGTGGACATCCAATCCCGGTCAGCGCCACGCGAGCACACAAATTTGAACGGGGGTCGGTTTGCATCTGCGTGGTTGCGCGTTGCTGCTATTCGGACGCAGTGGCTCGGGAAGCCCCCGGCGAGAGCCACATGTGTTGACAACGTCCCGCTCCTGTGCCGTGGGCGTTCGGGACGGCTGCGCGCGGCGCGAGAGCGAAAGCCACATGTTGAAAGCTACTCTTGATTTTTTAATCAAATGGAGGGGGTCATAACGCTCCCATACGAAAAGTTTTAGACCCCTCCAGACCATCCATGAAAGGGCGGCCCTTCGCCCAGACCCCCCCCGAACCCTCCGAGACAGCTCAAATCTGACCCCCCCAAATGTGACCCCCCCCCCACTTCTATTATGGAATCCGGAGTAGTTCTGCCCCGTCCGTTCCATTGCTGGGAGGTTTAGGGTCATGGGTTCCGAAGAGGTGGAGTTGATCTCGCGTCCCCACTGCCTTTTACGCCTCCTCCACCCCCCCCTCCGCGGTGCGCCCCCTTCCCACCTCATCTTCTTATGTCTCCTCATCCTCGGCGCCCCCCCAGCCCCTCCTTCCCCCCCCCCTCCATCCCCCTTCCATCCCTTCAATATGTTCCTTCCCTCTACCCTTCCCCTTCCCCTCCGGCTCTTCTTTTTTCCTCCTCGCTGGGACCCCTTCGAATCCCTTCAATTCCCGCGAGCGCCTCATCGATCCTCCTCCACCGTTCGTCCTCGCCATCTTACTGCTCCTCCTCCGCCTCCTCCTTATCCTTCTCTATCCCTCCTAAGCCGTGTTGGCTAAAGTGGCGGCTTAAGCTAGAGTGGAAATGGCAGTGTTGGATCGCATGGCCCATGTTGCGGATACGCTTGGATGCCATCCCAGCGGCAAAAACGTCAACGGTGTGTTTCTTCTGTCAAAGCGGCGATCAAAACGTGCGGGGTAACAACGCAGTGGCACACAGCGTTGCAGTTGTTCCGCGAGGCATCGCGAACGGATGCAATAACCGACCCCGCCTTGTACACCGCACTTATCAGCACTTGTGGAAAAGGCAGGCAGTGGCTGCAGGCGTTGGAATTGCTGCGCGAAGTGTCGGAGAAGAAGTTGGAACCAAACGTCATCATCTACAACGCCGGACTCAGCGCGTGCGAGAAAAGCGGTCAGTGGCAACAGGCTCTGTCGTTATTCGGCGAATTATGGGGGGTGGGGTTGGAGCCGAACGTCATCAGCTATACCGCTGTCATCAGCGCGTGCGACAAGGGCATGCGGTGGCAGCAGGCAGTGTCGTTGCTCAGCGGGCTGCGACAGGCCAGGAAAGAACCGGACGTCGTGTCCTACAGCGCGGGGATCGGCGCGTGTGGGAGAGGCGAGCAGTGGCAGGGGGCTCTGTCGCTGTTCACCGAGATGCGGGGGGCGAAGGTGGAGCCAGACGCCATCTTTCCCACAGTCAGCCCGTAGAAGATCACCACCCACCAAACCACCCCAACCCAACCCGAAGGCCTCAATTTGCCCTCCATTTCCAGTGGGGGGGGTCGGGGAACATCGAAAAAACACGTATGGAATCCATACCCCCCCCAACCCAAAATTCGGGTCTTCGGGTTGGGTTGGGGTGGTCTGGTAGGTAGTCAGAAGAAGGACGCACGATGAGGATGCAGGGGCCTCGGGAGGCCATGCCGACACTTGCGCGCGGGGCGCGGCCAGCGAGAGAGGCCAAGGATGGGCCGAGGGGGAAGGATGCCTCCTCCCCCGTCCCTCCTCCTCCCCCGCCTCCTCCTCCCCCTCCTCCTCCTCCCCCTCCTCCTCCTCCTCCTCCTCCTCCTCCGCCTCCTCCTCCTCCACAATTACTCAATATGAATACTACTCTCCCTCTTCCTCTGATGACGGTTTGAAAGCGCTCGACCCCCCCCGCGTACTGTTTTTTTTTTATACAGGTATCCCCAGAGTTGGATTTTCGCCTGCATTTTTTTTTTCAAAATGCTGCTCTCGCTGAGGCGCCGGCCTCATTTTCGGGCCCCGCTCGTTCCGAATCGTGTTCCCGCTGCAGCGTTGGCCTCATTTCCGTGCTTCCGCTCGTTCCGAATCGTGCTCCCGCTGCAGCGCTGGCCTCATTTCCGCGCTTCCGCTCGTTCCGAATCGTGCTCCCGCTGCAGCGCTGGCGTCATTTCCGTGCTTCCGCTCGTTCCGAATCGTGCTCC